CGGTGCAGGGAGAAGTGGCCCGCCTCCCCCCTCCTCCCCCTTCCTCCGGCGGCCGGCAGAGGAGGGGGGGTGTTTGCAAGGAGAGGGGGGAGCGCCCTCGCCGCTTGATTTTCATTTTTTTACATCCATCTATTTTTAAGTTTTCCTATGGACTGAGATGGCCTCCGAGCTGGCCATGAGCGCGGAGCTGCCCACCAGCCCCCTGGCCATCGAGTACGTCAACGACTTCGACCTGATGAAGTTCGAGGTGAAGAAGGAGCCGCCCGAAGCCGAGCGCTTCTGCCACCGCCTGCCGCCCGGCTCGCTGTCCTCCACGCCCATCAGCACGCCCTGCTCCTCCGTGCCTTCCTCGCCCAGCTTCTGCGCCCCCAGCCCCGGCGGGCAGGCGGGGGTGGCTCCCGGCGGGGGCGGCGCGGCAGCCAACAAGCCCCAGCTGGAGGACCTGTACTGGATGTCCAACTACCAGCACCACCTGAACCCCGAGGCGCTCAACCTGACCCCGGAGGATGCCGTGGAGGCGCTCATCGGCGCCCCCCCCCCCCCCCCCCCCCCCACCACCAGCCGGGCTACGAGGGCTTCCGCGCGCAGGCCTTCGGCGCCGAGGAGATGCCGCCCTCGGGCCACCACCACCACGCGCATCACCACCACCACGGGCATCACCTGCGGCTGGAGGACCGCTTCTCGGACGACCAGCTGGTGAGCATGTCGGTGCGGGAGCTGAACCGGCAGCTGCGCGGCTTCTCCAAGGAGGAGGTGATCCGCCTCAAGCAGAAGCGGCGCACGCTGAAGAACCGCGGCTATGCCCAGTCGTGCCGCTACAAGCGGGTGCAGCAGCGGCACATCCTGGAGAACGAGAAGTGCCAGCTCCAGGGCCAGGTGGAGCAGCTCAAGCAGGAGATCGCCCGCCTGGCCAAGGAGAGGGACCTCTACAAGGAGAAGTACGAGAAGCTGGCCGGCCGCGCCTTCCCCCACGAGCCCTCGCCCGCCGCCGCCCCGGGGAAAACCTCCGCCGACTTCTTCATGTGAGGCTCCCCTGCGACGGGGGCAAGGCTTTTCCCCACCCTCCCCTTTCATCCCCTGTACATAGATCCCTGGCGCTGTCTCCCTCTCGGCTTCCTCCCAGCCGCCGGACCGGGATGGACGCAAGCGATGATGGGCTGTCTGGGATGGCTTGGACGGGGATGATCCTGCCTCGGGACTGGATGGACGCAGGTTATGGGTCAGGCAGGGCGCCGGACTAGACGGACACAAGCGGTGGATGGTTTGGACGGGGCCGATCCCGCTTCGGGGCAGGGGGCTGGACCAGACGTGGCCTCTGGAGGTCTCTTCCAGCCCTGCTTCTCGAGGAGGATCCTGCGAGACCCAGCCCCCAGGCAGAGAAGGCTGCTGCCCCAGACGTGCAGGCAGAGAAGGCTGCCACCCCCACTTCCAGGCACATCCAGGCTGGACTCTTTTGCAAGCTTGTCTTTTATTTGGGATGGGGAGGGGGTCCTTTCCCATCCAAAAAAGCCAAGAAAAGGAGCATTTTTACCTCCCCTCTGCAGCCACCCCCGATGCGACAGAACTTTGTACCTCCCCAGACCTGGCTTTGGCCAAGGACAAGCAGCCAGGCACGCGCACGCACTCCTGAGTCTTAACGGGGGAGAGGGGAAGCCAGACGCTGCTTTGGATGCTGGGGGGGGGGAGAAAGGACATCGCCAACTTGAAAGACTTGAAGCAATACGAAAAAACAAACCAACAAAAAAGATGAATGATGATAATAGCAAACCTCTGACTTTTTTTATTTTATCTTTTTTTTTTGTTCTCCTGGAAACTGGGTGACACGCAGCGTGTTGCGGGGAGGAAAGAGAGAGCCCGTGGTGAAATCTTCCTGTATCGCCCTTCGCCCCAAGAAAGCAGCCTCCGAGGAGCCGTGCCGAGAAGCTGTTACCTGTGGTTCTTAGAAGACTTTTTAAGCAATCCTGCATGCAGGACATGTATGGTATTTCAATAATCGCCCCCCCTGCCCTTTTTTTTTCTTTTGTACTAGAACAGATGAAGAAAAAAAAAAAAAAAAAAAAGCATGATCCTGTTTTTTTTTCTTTTTAAAATTTTTTTGGGTTTTTTTTTTTTTTTTTTTTTCTTTTTTCCTTTCCCCCATCCCCAAACGTTCAGTTTTCTGTTTGCAGCACTTCTGGGGTGCGTCTTAAACAAAAACGAATAGTCTTAAACAAATGTTTGCAAAGTGATGTTTTCTCTCTCAATGGAGCAGTGCAGCAAAACACACACACAAGGGGCTGGGATATGTGTCTTGGGACTTCAGACGACAAAAAGGGTTGAGTTTACCTGCTTTTTATCTCCCTCCTTTTTCTTATTAATATTCTTGTTGTTAAAGTTGTTGGGTTTTTTTGTTTGTTTTCTTTTGTTTCGTTTTTTTTAAAAAAAAAAGGAAACCTGAGCCAGACTTAACTTATTTCAAGGTGTCCACTTGTACATATGTAGAATTTAGTTAGTTTTTTGCCTTTTTTTCTGAGCCTATATTTTGCTTGGTGATTTAAGGAAAAAAAAAATCTTAAAAAAAAATAAAATAAACACAAGTCTTAATGAAAGTTTGTATGTAATAGCATGCAAATAATATAAGAATTAATTTAATGATGTTGATAAAGCCGAATGCACTATATACAGGAATCAATTGGATTAAGTAATACTGTTGTTTTATAGAGATTTAAAATTATCTATGCTCTTAAAAATATTGGGGGGGAAAAACGTTAACATTCTAAGATGACCAGAAAGGCAATATAATAATATATGGACTGCAATCAGTTGGCTGCTATATCACTATGCACCAGATTTATTTATTAACCCTTGGGAAACAAAATGTTAGTTTAACTTTGATTTAAAAGAGGAGTGGGGGGGGGGGCCCTGAAAATGCACATACAAAATGTTATTTTAAGTTTGTTTTAAAAAAGGGGGGGGGGGGGGGGGACCCTGAAAATGCACATTATTTCTTGCAAAAGAAAGAAAAGCGGCAATCTTGCGATGCTGCTCTGTATGAAAGTGGAAAAGGAAAGCTATGTAACTAGAAGTTGGGTTCTTTGCTTTATGGGGCTTTTTTTAACAAGTTGCTTATTTAAAAAAAAAAAAATCTTGGGAAGGCAGAAAGCTCTAAACAAACCGTGGGCTTTGGAAACTGGTGCATTTTAGGAACTGTTTGGCAAAGCAATTTTTGATGACCTGTTGTTTCAGTTTCTGATGATTTTAATCCTGTTGCCTCAAGATAAAACGTATGTTCATCCAGAGCGTCAGTTCAGTTTTTTGCTGTGTTGGGTTTGTTTGTTTTTTTAATACAAGCTGCTTTGGAGCCGCATGGGCGATTTGCAACCTGGAAAACCCCTACATATCATTTTTTTGTTTGTTTTTTGGGAGTCGTTTTCCTTTCGTGTTCAGGCATCCGTGCAAAATTCAGTCGAGCTTTTCCTTTGCTACGGACAGACGACAAAACAAAATAACCCCCTTCGCACCCCCCATCTCGATGCTTGCAGGCAGCGGTGGTCTGGCGGGTGGGTCCCCGTTCTGGAGGAGACGCGAGGAGCACCCGCTTCTTGGCAGTGCTTTGTTCAGCAAAATCCAGTGCATCCGACTCGTTCAAATGTGTTTTGAGTTTAAAAACCAGAGCGGGGAAATGCGTACCGGCAACCCTCAGAGCAACCGTGTAGACAGAAGGGTGTTTATTTGAACTTTATTTTGGGAGGATCGAGATGAAATGCACTTTTTTCCCCCCCCCCGTTTTAAAAATAAAAAGATCAGAAAATTGGCAAGCCTGGGAAACGGGGAATAAAAAAATAACACCGTCGTAAACAAATACATGCACGTTTTGTCCACGTTGGAAGCTGTGTTTGCTTTCAGTTTTCCCGTCTTCTGCTCGGCTTCCTGCTCGAACCAGGACCGGTGTCGGTGGGGGTGGAAGCGATTAAACCGGCGAGATAGGTAGATCGTAAACGATGGCAGAGGTGTGTTGACGCTCCTCATTTCCTTCCAAAGTTTTCATCTCTTGGGAAGAAAAATCTGCGAACATTTTAGTGCTGTTTCTAATGCTTCTGCATTGTAGGGTTAGACCTTCCACTGATTTGGCTTTTAAATACTTTTAAATGCCTTTTACAATTTATTAGCCTGGTTTTCCCCCCCCCCCCCCACCCCGCAATTGCACAATATTTAAATTTATAAGTGAAAGTTTTTTGGAATTAAGTTGTGGTTTTATTCTCTTTTATGGGAATCATGTAGATGAAAAATGTTTAAAAAAAAAATAAATTCATTTTTCCTTTTATTTTCTTTTTCCTTAAGGAAGAGAGGGACCTAATTATTTGAGTATTTTATTTTCAACGGGTTATTTAGACCTTCGTTGTATTTTTTTTTTTTTGATTTTACAGTATCGAGATTTACAATTCTAAGGGATTTGATCCAAAGTGAGACTTTTTTTTCCCCACCCCCCCGCACGTATCGGAGAAATCGTTTTCTTTTTAAACAAGGAATTATTTCCACACCAAATGAGTGCTCTCATGAATAGCTTTTAATGCTGTGTCTGTTTTGTAACCAAATCAAAAGTGTAGTCCATTGACTTTTATTTTAAATGGTAATAAATGGTTTTATTTCCCCTTTTGGATACTGTGTTAAGAGTTTTTAATTAAAATAAAAATCCCCAAACCAAACTAGTGCTTTAAAGGCCATTTAGAAAAAGAAGCAGCGGCAGGGAATGACTTCTAAATTGCTTCCCGTGCATCCGGAGAGGGCAGAGATAGGATGGCTTTAATTTTATTTGTTTGTAGAAACATCCTTACGGGTCTAATACCTTGCAGGAGAGTCTTTTGGTGCCAATTGCAATCCCTACTACCAATAACAGATTTCCACTTTTTTTTCCTTGCTTTTCTCCCTAAATGAATGCTGGAACATTTTCAGGGATTTAGAGTATTTTTTTGCAACTCGGTAAGATGGCTCGGTTGGAAGGGAACTGTGATGCAACCTCCCCCACCTTCCCGCAAAAATTGCAGAACCCAACCCATTTTCTGTTCCTTCTCTAGAGGCTGATATTATTATTATTATTATTATTAATTTATTTTTGCCTTCTCCCTCGGTTTCTTGGGCCGCTTTAGCCCCGTGTGCTGCTTTTGCTTTGCAGGTCCAAGCTGGAAGGCTGGCCCCGGGACAGCCGCGGTGGGCTTAGGCAGAGTCCACGTGTCGTGGTGCCGCTCGGAGGTGGAAAGCCGCTCCCGGGGGCCGCGCCGTGGCTGCTTATTGCTGGCGGATGTCGACGCTTGGCATTTGGGGAGATCCCCTTCGGCCTCACCTTTTTGGTTTTATTCAAAGGGAGGAAAAATGGCAGCTATTGCAGTGCTGGGCGAGCGGGGCCGTGCTGGCGCATGAGGAGCGGGATGCTCCCGTCTGCGTCAGCCCTGCGAGGAGCAGATGGCAAGGTTGCATCCGCTTGTCTGGGTCACTCCCTCGCCCAGGGCAGGTTTGGGCCCGCCGTCCGCTTGTTCTCTTAACCCGAGCGCTTTGCCCAGCCCAATTTCAGGAGCCCCGCTCCATCCCTTTGGGAAACTCTCGCAGGGCTCGGGCAAGGTCTCAGCCTGCAGCGACACCCCGAAGCGCCCCTCGGTCTGTCCCCAGGTACCAGCCCAAAGAGCAGGTCCTGTTTTTGGCTCTGAGGTCCAGGGGCCTTAAATATTCAGGATCCGGCCCAGAGCGGACGCTGGTTTGTTGCTAGATATACTCTTTTAGTTTCTCTAGGTGGCATGAAGGATTGCCCAGCCCGCCAGCCAGGTTGGGTGCGAAGGAGGAAGGAGCCTGTCTGTCCTCCAGGCTTTGTCTGCGTGTCCCTTTGCTGGATCCAGTATATTTTTCGCTGTGCAGCCTGAATTGTTTTTCCCTTCCTCAGATCCGTGGCCGGGCATCCCTCCGACGGGGAGGTAGGGGCGTAGTCTGGACTCGGGGCACCGTTGCCGGTATGTTTTCGGGAGGGCTCTGGGCGTGAACCGCTAGGATGGCTTTGGAGAGGGAAACCGAGGCCTTTTCCCTGCCAGCAGAGAAACCGAAGTATCGCCTTCTCCCGTTGAATTTCACCACCTCTTTCAGCTTGGCCTGTTTTCGAATCCGATGCCCGGAGTCTTTCCAGGGTTCAGCTCCAGCTCCACATTTCATTATGCTCCTGCACACCTCGCCTCGGCCCCTGCAGCCATGTATCTCCGGTGAAAGCCCCCCAATTTTCCTTCCTGGGCGTCTGCCCACACACAGCCCAACCTTGGCATTTTTCTTTTGGAAAGCAGCTCCTACCCACGATGGCGAAGCTGTTATTAAATGAGGAGGGGAGAGCAGGGCCGGTGAGGGGAAGGGGTTTTGCTCGGGCAGGCTCTTTGCCACCACCTTGCTGCGATATGCGTTGAACCCCAAGTGATAGCTCTTTGGGAGAGTGATTGCTAATAACCCTGTGTGGCACCTGGAGCAGAAAACCAACCGTGCATGCCTGGAAAAGAGGCTTTTCTACCTGCTTTAATGCCATCCCTTTCAGGGGGGGTAGCTCCTTGCCTGGCATCTCCCCTTTATTTTGGCATTGCTCAAACCGGGGTTTTTGCCGAACTCCGAGAGGGCGCACGGCCTGCGGGAAGGAAAGAGAGCGCTTACCACGGGCAAGGGGAAATGGAAATGCAGGGCATGGGGCGTGAAGGGGGATCCTCCTTGCCGTTTCCACTTCGGGCATTGCAGAGACTGCAGCAGGGCTGTAGGGATGTGAAGCGTTCGATTTTTATTCTCCTCCCTGATGCGGACTCCCAGGAGCACGCAGCAGTCTAGCAAGCTTTGCAAGGGGGTTCATGACCTGATCAAGTTTTAACACCCCTGCTCCATATGGCTTGTGTCTTGCCGTGTGTGCGTGCGTACACTTTCATCTCTGCATGTGCACACGTATAGAAAAGATGTCATTCCTTGGTTTCGCTGTTGCAAGTAGGGTCCCATAAACCAGGTTGTGAGACGCTGTTGAGTGAAGATAACGTGCTGTGCTGGGCACGGTGTAGTGCCCCTTTGGGGTAGAAAGGAGCGACCGTTCAGGCAGACCTCGCTTGGCTGGTAAGCGATATTTCTCCGTGGCCAGCTCAAACCGTAGATAGCATTAGCATGCTGCATTGGACCCAGGCACCATCCCGTGGCATGGTGCGGGGGGAAGTGAAGTGAGTTGTTTGATCCCAGTTGTGGGCAGCACGAGAAGCGAAGAGCACGGATCTGCGTAGGGGGACCGGGCCCTGGTTTGGAAAGCAGGCTCTGAACATCGAGGTTTCTTCCTGTCTCTTCATACCGGGTGTCCAGGCCGTGCACACCCGGCGAGTATAGGGACGTGACTCGATGCTAGAATTTGGGGGTATGCACCCCACAGCTGGACCGAGTCCATGTTTAATTCCCAGGGCTGAACTCTGCCTGCTGCGTTGTGTTACGGTGAGCGTGGGGACGTGTCGAGCTGCGGAAGAGGGGCGGTTACATAACTCGTGGCACTCGCTGTCCTGTCTGCGTGCTGTAGGGATTTATTGCTGAGCAGTATGGGGCTGGACGCTTTCCCATCGGGCTCGAGGACTGGGAGCTTGGGGATTTGTTTCCCCCTCTCCAGTCTGGCTGCGTTGGAGCTCTCCGGCAGATTTCCTCTGTGCGTGCTCGCTCGCTCCATCGCTGACCTGAGCATCTTGTAGCCAACGCCAGGATGAAGTCACCGGAGCCAAGCCCGGGGGAGTGACTGAAAGCACTCGAATCGGATCGCGGCTGCTTGCCTCGCTGCACGGATAGAGCGAGCCACGGGTGCAGGCCTCATCCCGCTCTTGGCTTCAGCCCTGCCATGTGTGTCTCTCTGTAACAGGGAGCAAGCAGCCAGAAACATCTAAGAAATAGGCACCCGGTGCTTTCTCCATCTCCAGCCTGGCACAGCAAGGTCTCTGCCTCCTGGAAGAAGGTACAGCAAGGTCCCTCCCTCCACCGGCAGGCACATTGCCCTGGGGGTACAGATAAGGCAGCCAAGAGGCGCCAAGGAGGTAGTGACATGCCACCGACTCTCAAAATAGCCTTGGGCAAGTCATGCAAGCCCAGAGAGGCTTTCACGAAGTAGCTGTAACCACCCTGCTCGGGCAGGGCGAATGCCTCGGGGGCTTTGCCCACCCAGGAGCCCTGTTGGCACTGAACATTGCAGCCATCTGGGTCCTTTTGTGGCTGGCAGGGCTGTGCGGGTGTCCAGGCCCCTTGCTTTGGGGTTTTGTGTGGGTTTCGAGCGCTGGCCGGAGGGCAGAGATGACCAGCCCCCTTGCAGCAGCAGGGTCTTTTCGTGCCCCTGGTTATTTCCTTCCGAAAAGGAGGGTCTGAAAGGCAAGGCGCACGTGCCAGCTTTGTGGCGTGCAGCCTGCCGTGGGCCGGCCGGGGGCCCGTTCCAGTCCTCCCCGCTCCTTGGCATCTCCAAGAGCAAAGACAGGGGAGTTTTCCAGCTTGTTTTAAAAGCAGAGACCAGCGGGGTGGGCACAGAGCGTGTTTCCGCAAGGCATCGCAGCGTGCCTGAGCGAACGTCCCCAACTCGTCTCCTGCAATCTGGCTTCACCCTGCAGTCGCATTGGATTCATTAGCTGGATGCGGTTTTCATTGAAGATCACAACTTCCCCCCCGAGACATCCCTCAGCAATATTAGGGGATCACTGAGCCCTCAATGCAGGGGGCACATCTTTCCTCTCCCCTTGCTAATGCCAGTCGAACAAGCAGCTGGACTCCAGCACTGCAAAAAGCCTCAGCCCAGGTCAGGTTTGCCCCACGTGGCTCCGGGAGCCTTTCCGAACGGCTTCAGTCTCCAGGCCTCGCTGCTAGTGGAAGTGGAGGGGTCAAGGTGGCCTTAAGTGAACCAGAGAGCAGGGAGATGGGAGGAAAGCTCTCCTTGCCCAGCGGCCGGGGGGATCCCTGACCTCCTGCTCTCTGGATGGTGTTCAAGCCAGGACCTCTCTCGACCCCCTTTGCCCACTTTCTGGAGCCCCAGGGGACAAAGCCCCTGCCCGCTGTGTTTCTAAACATTGCAACCTTTAGCAAAAAAGCAGCAAAGCCCCAAATACTCTGGTTCTGCAGAACCCGCCGGAGCCAAAGGTGCCTGGCTCAGCCCCGGTTTAATGCGAGGTACGAATCTACGTGCTTCGTGCATTTCATTTGAAATAGCTCCCGAAAAGCCGGGTTTGAATGTCCCGCGTGTCGCCGAATGACCAAGTTCGACGAAATATCGGCTGTCTTCCCTCCCCCGGCCTCTGAAAAGGAGCCGTTCAGTTAGGAATCGGTTTTGACGGAGCGGGGTCTGGATCTGCGGGTCACAAATTCACGGACGTTTGACTTCTCTCCCTCCTACAGCAGGTTTGTATTTCGGATGCTGCGTGATATGCAGAAGCAAAAGGGAAATAATAATTATACTAACGTGTGTATGTGTGCCTGCATAGTTTTTCTTAAAGAAGCTGGAAAATGATAAACCCTGTCCAAAATGGGCTGCTTCTGTTCTTGCAGTCCCCAGGCTTGGATGGGTTTGCAAATCTTATCCGCAGGTTAAAAAACCCTGAGAAATCTTCCTACTTCTTCATTTAAAGGCATGTTACCCGCCC